GGCCTTGTAACTGCAAGTGTTTCTGGTGTCTCCAATGGTTCTTGGGTTTGAACCTCTTCATCTTCTGATTCTTCTATTGGAGTTGAAGAATCAACTGCATCAACTTTTGGGATCATCATCTGCTGAAACTCCACCTGTTTTGGAGTATGCTCCACCTGCTGCGGAGTACTACTTGTCTGGACAGCTTCACTTGTTATCGTCTTTACTAGGGCAAATTCATCAAAGGTAACATCTATGCTACAAATTACCTTCTTGGTGTCTAAACACCAAAGGCGGAATCCCTTCACTCCATGGGTGATTCCCATAAAGAGAGCCTTCTTTGCTCTCGGATCAAGCTTGGATTCCTTCACATGATAATAAGCAGTGGATCCAAATACATGTAAGGAATCATAATCAGTAGCAGGTTTTCCAGACCATACCTCCAATGGTGTTTTTCCTCCTATCACTGATGACGGCAGACGATTAATGAGATGACCAACATATGTCACAGCCTCAGCCCAAAATGCCTTGCCTAACCCAGCATTAGACAACATACATCGAACTTTCTTCAATAGTGTTCGATTCATACGCTCTGCTACCCCATTCTGTTGTGGTGTATGTCTAACAGTGAAGTGTCGAACAATACCATACTCATGGCAAACGTCAAAGAATTGGTCACTTTTATATTCCCCTCCATTGTCCGTTCTAAGACATTTGATCTTTCTACCAGTCTGGTTCTCGATCATATTTTTCCATTTCAGGAAAATTTGAAGCACTTCATCTTTAGACTTCATCGGATACACCCAAACTCTTCTGGAAAAGTCATCTACAAAAGTTACAAATAATGGTTTTCTCCCAAAGACGATGTCTTTGAAGGACCCCATACATCTGAGTGAATATAATCTACAATACCTTTTGTATTATGTATAGTGGTGCCAAACTTCACTCTCTTCTGCTTTCCCAGAACACAATGCTCGCAAAAGTTCAATTTTCAAGCCTTTGCACCTTTCAACAATCCTTTTTTTGCCAGAATTTGCAAGGATTTCTCTCCAGCATGTCCCAACCGCATATGTCACAACTGGGTTGCGTCCAAATCATCACCTCCGGAAGCTGCTGCAACTGCTCCAATAATTGTACTACCTTGGTAGTAATACAAATTATTTTTCCTGATGCCCTTCATCATCACAAGTGCGCCATATATGACTTTTAAAACTCCACCTCTCATAGTGACTACTGAGCCTTTGGATTCTAAGGCTCCCAACGAGATGAGATTTTTCTTCAAACTGGGCACGTATCAGACATCCGTCAGAACTCTGGTTGATCCATCTTGATTCTTCAATCGAATTGAACCTATCCCAACAGTTTTACAGGCATTGTCATTGCCCATATAAACAACTCCTGCATTTAGTTCTACTAAATCGGAGAACCACTCCCGATTAGGGGACATATGATAGGTGCAACCCGAATCTAATATCCACTCATCGGAATGGAATGTTGTTGATGAAGCAACCAATGATATGTCAGAGTCATGTGCATCATACTCTGCAACACATGCATCTGGAGCAGCTTTTCCTTTCTTCTTCAGCTTCGAACAATCTTTCTTCCAATGGCCTTTCTCATGACAAAATGCACATTCATCTTTTCCCAGTCTGGACTTCGACTTTGATCTCCCTCTCCACTTTGGCTTTTGACTTTTCGAGCGACCTCTTGCCACTATGGCCTCTGCTGCTTCGTACTTGCTCTCCTTCTTGGTTTTCTTCCTGAGTTCATAACTATACAAAACAGTAGTTACATCTTTAAGGGTAACATTATCCTTACCATGAAGTAACGTTGTCTCAAGGTGCTCAAATTCATCTGGAAGAGATGACAACAACATCAAAGCCAAATCTTAATATTTGAAGGTTTCATCCATGCCCAATAAACCTTCCACTAGCTCATTGAATGCAGTAATGTGTTCATTCATACTGGTGCCTGGTTGATAATCAAATCTGAACAATCTTTTCTTCATGTAGAGACGATTCTAAAAGCTTTTCTTCAAGAATTTTTCCTCCAAAGTTTTCCACATCTTACTTGCAGAAGTCTCGTTCTTGTAGCCATACTTCTGCTCCCTGGAAAGATAAGATCGAATCGTGCTGCACGCCAAACGATTGATTGTTCCCCATTCTTTCTCCTCCATATATTCGGGTTGTTCTTTCTCAATGGCGATGTCTAGATCTTGTTGGAATAAAGCGTCTAACACCTCGCCTTGCCACATGCCAAAATGACCGGATCCATTGAATAACTCCACCGAAAAATTTGCATTTGACATCACCCTCCTCACCGGTCCAGATGAAGAGCTTGATGTCTCAACTGATCCGTATTTTGGCATTTTAATTCTAACAAACAATATTCAATATCACGAACTGTATCTTTTCAGCAACGGAACCACCAGGATAGCCTCAACCGAAGCTCTGATACCAATTTTTGGGGAAAACGGGTTATTTCCCACACGAACATAGTTTTAAAATTTACCTAAAATGTCAAGATTAAAACCACCAAAGGTTGCACAGCGGATAAACCTGTCAAACTATTGAATATTGAAACACAATGGAAAAGAACCGAATAAAAAACAATAAAGGAGAAAACACGCCAAATTTACGAGGTTCGACGAGAATATTACAACAAATGGAATTCTTTGGTCTACTCCTCGGGCACCACACCAGATGATAACTTCACTATATCGCCAATATTACAACAAATGAAATTCTTTGGAATTCCTAAAGTGGGAGAATGAAAAATACAAGAGGAAAAGAGAACTTGTTTTTGGGATGATTTCTAATGAAAATACTTAAGCCTATTTATAATTGATTTTAAGAACAATATATTCAAAGTTTAGCCACCTACTAAAGAATTTTCTAATGTGTACAAGTTAACCACCAAATATAAAATTCACATGTTCAAAGTTTGACCACCAACCAATATGAAATTTTCAATAAATTGGCCATCAACCAAGATGAAATTTCCAACTTGTCAACTTATTTTCTAGACAAATCTAACAATAACAATTATATAAAATTCTGAAAATAATTTAGAATTGAAACTTTAAAATTTAAAATTTATCTCTTTTATTTTCATTTTCTAATTTCTTGACTTAGTTGACATTTGACAACTTGACTAAAATGACATTTTGGCAACATCAAAATCGAGTTTTAAATACACTGTGTATTTATACAAACAAAAAATGAAAACGAAACAAGGTGCTAGATTTGAATTAATTAGTAAAATCTAAGTTTCAATTCACTAAATCCTAAAATTGACTTAATAATATTTATCAAAACAAATTAATTAATTAATTTCTATTTTAGCCGACCATAAATAACTGAAGATTACAAAAACCTCATTACCCCAGTGTACCAATTTAGTATATGTGCCTCTTATTTTATATCTGAAAGTATAATATATACTAATATTAAATATAATCGAACCTTAATTTCAACATTTACCATACTCATCTTTCTTCCAACTTCGAATTACGAGTTTAACCATTTGCTTGATATTTCTTCATTCTATACTGTTTGTTAACTTTATTGATGACTGAAAACAAGATTCATCGAAGAAACTCGGTTCACATAGATTAGAGGGGGTGTGTGATTATACCAAGCTGAACCCAGTCTAAGTTGTAAGACGCTCGAGCTTGACTCGAATTCGAGGATTCGAGCTCGAGAGGAGCAATGATGGACAAACCAGACAATCATAACCGCCATATCTGCACCTCCTTCACCTCTATCCATTTTTAGAAACACGTTTTCTTTTAGCGGTACATCGACTAAATATAAACTGCAAGAAAGAGATTAATCATAAAGAAAGTTAAATCGGAAGCCTGTGATTCCTTGTGCAATTACAGAGGGAAAAGAAGCATATAACCAGAATCTTACCACCTCGGAGCATGGTCACGACTCGTTATGGTGGCATAGCTTCTGGTTGAAATTAGTATACATAGAGGCAAAATAATATGAGAGACAACGTAATAAAATGTACGTGAATAACTCACAAGTTACAAGCCAATAAGATACAAGAGGTCAAGTTGTCTTGGGAGATGAGGCTTTCAGTCTGGGAACTTTAAATGTAGAAGTGAACAATTTCTGAGTTTCCGAAATATATCTCTTCATTCTTTTTTCTCTTCAAACTTCTGCTTCCCTAAACAACAATAAGGGAAGTTAAATTTTCGTTGGTCAATGGATTTTTCACATAAAAAACAGCAAGTCGTTCACTTTGGCAATAACAAATCAAATTATTTACGTCAACCAGCAAGGTTAATGCATACGTAAATCTGTAGCCTTCATGTTCTATTCAGGGGATAGAGGAAATCAAGCTCAGGAACTTTCTGAATGGTAATTATTTGGGGGAACTTTAAGGTCCTAGAGGCCACAAATGAAGAATATCGATACTAAGAGAACTAAATGAATTCATGTCAAAATCATATCAATCAATGTTTAAGCTAAATTGACCACAAAGTACCTTTCCATTGTCCTTCAGAATATCCGGAACACTAGCAGATTGTTCTTACTTCTTAATATCGTCGATTCCATCCCTGCCACCATTCTCACCTCCCAGAACAGATGTTCTCCCACCTTCTGAACACCGCCTTATAACAGGTGTACGAGAAAATTTTCCGGACCTCCTTAACAACTCTACCTCCTTTGATAATTTAGAAACTTCTTCATTTAATCTATCAGCATCAGCCTCTTTTCGAGACACTTCGGATTTCAATCTCTCAATTATTTCATCCTTTTCAGCATCAGATGACCTCAGGTCCTCCATATTAGAAATAAGTACCTCAATTTTCCTATTAGCCTTTTCAAATTCAGACTGCTTGCTGTTTAATTTATCCATATACCGACTTTCAAGAATGTTTAACTGATTCCATGCAAACTTATTCTCCGTCATAAGTGCGGCAATCTGAGAACTCGTTTGTGAAGCAAGATTTTCGTACGTAAGCTTTAGATTCTGTAAACCGCCTTCTAATGCACTCGAAGTAAAAAACTTTGAGCCACAATCCTTGCATCTTGGCATTCCTTTTTTGGTTTCCTTGGGGACATCCTATATATAATGAAATGATTAATACCTTAGAAACTTTACAATGTGTAAACTATGAAAAGAGAAAAATCATCAAAAACATACTTTCGAGTTTTTACTGAGGATGTCGAACCAGACTCTGAAGTCGCACAATCCATCCTCTGTTTCTTCTGTAATAAAACAATTAAACACATATAAACATGACTAATACTAAATTATATTAAAAAAAACTAAATTTCTGATCAATGGATTCCTTAATAATGAATTCAACTCCACATAAAAGAATTCATATTGGAAATTATTTTTTTTAAAAAAGGGAAAATGAATAAGCAAATATCATGGGGAAAAAAACAAACCTAATTTCAATTTGCAAAGATCGGCTTCTCTTTGCTTCAATCCTACCATCAAATCGGCTTTTGCAGCCTCAAGTACACAAGCTATCTCTTTTGATTCCAAACAAGTATTCATCTAAACAACAAAAAGACATTTATATATAAAATAAAATTTTAAAAATTCTAAATTAAAAAACTTTTACCTGAGAAATGTGAGCTTCGTAGAGGCGAAAGTCAGAGGCCCAGCGTTCGTATTTATTTAAAGTTCGTTTTTACCAAATTTAAACCACATGCTCATATATCATAATAGAATATCTATGTAACTCCAATTGTTATTTTTTTACTATCTCTTTTTTATTTAGTCCCTTAACTTTGTATTTTACACAATTTGGTCTTTTAACTACAATTTTTTGCAATTTTTTTATTCTCATCAATTCATTAACTCATTTATACTGTCATCAATATTTTACCATCAAAATACATTCTTTAAATATAATATTATGAATATATTTCAAAACTTTAGATTGTATTTGTTATATTAAATAACATTATAATATGAAAGAATAATATATATATATATATATATATATATGGTTAGATAAAGTTAAAAAATTACAACAAAGCATTGTCATAATATTATAAATAATTATAATAAAATTAATATAGAAACTCGAATAACTCGACTCAAACTCGAAAAATTTTAAGTTAAGTTCAAATAGTAAAATACTACTCATCAGCTTGAATAATTCGATTTTTTTTTACTCAACTCAATTCGATGGAATACTCACCCCTAGTTTCAACATTTAGAAAGAAGCCGTGGCTAGCGAGGTTTGTTTCAATCCGTAAACCCATGCCCATGTTGAGAAAGTCATCCATTCTCTCTGCTTTAATCAGTTGCTGCCAAACCAGTCTAGCAGATGGACAATCATGAAAAGTATGTGAGCTGGACTCATACGGCGCACCACAAATACCACAATTGGGATCCAGACATGTGACGCCTTACTCGATCTTCATTAGTAACAAGTATAGCTTTACAAATTAACCAAAGCAGCCAATGGAAGGCCTTTATATTTTGCAATCGATTTCCAGCGAGGGTGAAACTTCTCTCCATACATTCTCGGTTTGTTTATTGTGGGCACTCCTAGTAGTGAAACATAGGATGTTTAATGAATTGAGAAGCTTAAATTCTATTTGTTAAAAGCTCGGTAAAAGCTCGACTTAGGTTGACTCGACTCGAACTCGAGCTCGATTCGAGACCTTAACTAGTTAAGTCAAGCAAAGACTAACTCGACTCGATAAATTTGTGATCAACTCGTTAATTTTTTACATAATTTTTTAGTAGTTATCTTAAAAAATTATTTCATACTTTTAAAAATCAAACCTTATTTATTATTTTAACGTATTTGTGGATTATTACTTTAGAGTTTAGACTTTAAAATTACTTCATACATTCTTTTGAATTTTTTTAAGTTAAATTTATTAATTTATGTTTATATTAAGTTCTATATCGTATTAGTATATTGAGAAAATAACCTCAGTGACCAAAAATGCTTATAATATACGATTTTAACCAATTTTTTTTGGATTTGCCAAAATGACCAACTAAACCGCAATGCGATCGATAATTCGCAACGCGATCTCCGGTATCGCAAATCAGTTTCCAGATTCGCAACGCGATTCTGATTATCGCATTGCGATTTTCCAAATTCGCGTTACGATTTTCCGACTATCGCAATGCGAATATGTAAATCGCAATGCAAATATGTAAATTGCAATGCGATTATGACTATCGCAACGCGAATATGTAAATCGCAATGCGAATATGTAAATCGCAATGCGATTATGACTATTGCAACGCGATTCTGACTGTCGCAACACTGAATTTCAAATTCGCAACAGGTTTTAGTTTCGCAACACAAATGTTTTGGGTATATAACTACGCAGCAGAAGCAACTCATAACCTAAATCCCTAAATCGCAACTCATTCCATATCCATCTATCACTCTCTCCGGCGACATCCGTTCCTATATCCAACGACATCATTTCCCATCCGGCAACAAGTTTTAGTTTCGCAGCTCGTTTGTTTAGTAAATTAATTTACAATAATGAAATCATCTAATGTTGATCATGTTTGGATATATTTGTGTTTTGGAGGGTCATGTGAGAATGTTCATGGTGTTTTACAATATATGCCTTTACCCATGAATCTTCAACTAAAACTGTCATTAAAAAAGTTAACTTATGAAACTCTAATGTTACGTGTTGCAAATAAATTAAATTTAGAGCCCTTAAGTGGATTTAGGCTATCTTATCAGAGAAAAGGTAAAGTTTATTTGTTAACCGACAATGAAGATATTGAACGATTCATTGCTTACATTAGTGTTTCGCAAGATGATGTTACATTGTATATTGTTAAACCTAGAAGTAGTGAAGTTGGGTCAGTAGCGGGTAGTAATCAACTAAGTTTTTCAACTCCAGTTTATAGTGCTCAAAATTTAATGGTTCCACCACAATTTCATCACCAAGCAAATTTTGTTTCACCACATTTCCAATACCAAACACAATCTCAAAACCCACAACCTTTCCCTAATCCAAATCCCAATCAACTTTCAGCACCAAATTCCGGTTTTCGTATTGACCAGTTAGATGATGATGAGCCAACAGAAAAAATTGTGAGTACTAGTCAGTATTCAAAATTTGATATTGGTCAATACCCGAACTTTGATCTTGGTCAATACTCATATTTTGATGATGTTTCAGAAGAAGAAACAGACCCTGCGTGTAATGATTTTTATATTGATCAATACCCGAATTTTGATGATGAAACAACCGCTGCCGAGGAAGATGTTGTTGATGATAATGAGGAGGAAGTTACGACTGTGAATGAACATGTTGAACAACCATTCTGTAATTCATATAACCCTAAAGAAGAAAAAGAAGAAGAAGAAATCCCCGAAGAAAAGTCCCCGAAGAAAATGCCATGGGAGTATAACTGGAATATGCCAGAATTACTTCAGATACCGGAAGAATAGTTGGTAAAAATAACAGTTGATTGTTACACAAAAATTATTCGTATCAAGAAAGATGATTGTTTTGATACAAAGGAAGACTTGAAGATAGCTTTGTATACAAAATGTGTGGAAGATGGCTATCAACTAAAAGTTAACAAATCAAGCAAAGATCGTTTCGAAACAAGGTGTATGATTGACAAAAACTGTACGTGGCGTATGATTGCAAAGAGGATAAAAGATTGCGAAATGTTTCAAGTTAGGACTTTTATTGATAAACATACATGTTCAAGAACCCAAGTTTTTCCTCACCATAGACATACAAACAAAAAGGTGTTGGGTGGTCTTCTGGTTGAGTTAATGTTTTTGAATGGCAGGGTATATCGGGACATGAAATTATGACTGACATGAATGCTCGGTTCAAGATTAGTATCTCATATTCTCAAGCTTGGAGAGCCAAATGTTATGCATTGGAATTATTGAGGGGGTCTCCAGAAGCATCGTTTGCCCAACTGCCGGCTTATTGTCACAATTTAAAGCTGAAAAATCCTGGGTCAGTAACTCATATCAAAACAGATAGAGATGGACGCTTTGAGTTGCTGTTTATCGCCATTGGTGCTGCGGTTAGTAAATCAATATAATTTTGTTGACTCATTTTTGTTAGTTACATGCATTTCACATTTAAATGATTATATTTCTTGTGTATATGATTTTGTAGATTCGTTCGTTTATTACTTGCATGCGCCCAGTTATTATAGTTGACGGAGCACATTTAAAATGTCGATACCTTGGAGTAAACTTATTAGCAGTAGCCATGGATGCTAACAATGGGATACTGGCAATAGCTTATGGGGTTGGCAAATCTGAAACCTTGATTCATGGACATGGTTTATGGGGCATCTTAGGGATTGCATAGGTCCTATTAGCAATCTGACAATCATATCCGATAGGGCAAACTCAATTGACAACGTTGTTAGAAGGTGTTTCCCATATGCTTTTTATGGACTTTGTGGTGTTCATTTATATAGAAATCTAAAATCAAGGTCTGCTGGTATAAAAAATCACAAATGGACATACTGGAAGGCTGTAAAAATTTATCGGGAAGTGGATTTTAATAAGCATATAAATTGTTTAAGACGTGTTTTGCCTCAGTGTGCTCAAACACTAGAAGATGTCGGGTTTGAAAGATGGTCAAGAGTACATCAACTTGGAGCAAGATATGGTTTCATGACGTCTAATAGTGCAGAATCAATCAACGCTCTAAGTCGTCATTCCCGAAAATTACCCATTACTATGTTAATGGAGTTTTTTCGAGCCTCTATTCAACAGTAGTACTACAAGAAAAGAAACCATGCAGGTATTATTTCTTTAAATTTGTAACTTATCATATATTTTACTAAGTATTATTTATTTAAATTTACAGGAACATTGGAACATCGTGTTACACCATGGACTCAAAAAAAGATAACGAAACGTGTTGTGAAGTTAACGTCATGGAGAGTTGAACCATGTTCAAACACTTTGTTTGAAGTATTGGATAATAACTTAAATGGGCTTGTCGATCTAAATACAAAGACATGTAGTTGTATGAAATGGCAAATATCTGGTTATTCGTGTGGGCATGTTATAAAAGTTGCTCTTCATCTAAACCAAGATGATTCAAGCTCATACGCCATGGATTGCTATACTACAGAAGTATATCGACAGACTTATGCCGAGATTATCTACCCTATTCCACATCCTTCTGAGTGGGACATATCAGATGACTTACAAACAGTTTTGCCACCAGCCATAGACAGAAGGCTACATGGCCGACCAAAAAGTCACGATCGTATACCGTCTAAGGGTGAAGAGAAGAAGAGATCGACATGAAGTCGGTGTAAGGAAAATTATCGTACAAGGTTGACATGTGGATCACCAGTGCCATTACAATCATCTTTTCCTCTACCAAAATATGGATCCTCATCAAAATCCAAAGCTCATATGGTGTCAAGAAAAAGGCAATCAAAATCGCAATCAAAATCCCAATCACAACCGGCTTCACCTTTTGGGACTATTAACTTAGGTGATTTTTAAATGCAAATGTTGTATTATGTGTAAACTTTTAACATTTTCAG